ACATAATCTCTTCCAGTCCTGTCCATGTTGATACAAAAGTTGGGTATTCATCCTTTCTGATGGAGGCATAATACTCCATAGTGTATATGGACCACATGGGAAGGGGGCCTATTAAGTGAAACTTGGTAAGTGAAAGAGTTGGTGTTTCTCCCCTGTTCTTGTCCCTTTATACTTTAGGCATGCAGAATAGCAAGCAACCAGGCAGTTTTCTTCTATAAAGAATTTAACTGATTGAGATAGCATGAGTTGGCTGCTTCCCCAGAGGAAAGCCTTACCTCATCTGGCATTTAGAGGCTCCACTGTAAGTGCTAGCTTCCTCTCCTACCATTCCCAGACACATCCACAGATTTTCTAATCAGTCCTTTTGTCTTATTCTTAAATACAAATGGACAACCAGTATAGCCTGAGAATGCAGGGGCAATGTGGTACATTGAAAAAGAAATACAATAAACAACAAAATAACTGACTTAGAAGAAAATAGATTATTTAGGGGATAGAAGAGATTATATAAATTTTAAAACCACCATAAACTGTATGTAATAAATACAAGGAGATTTAAGAATATATTTTGTCCATTGGGAAATGGTTGGAATGCTATTTCTTTTTAAAGGGAAGAAACAAGAAAAGAGGGGTTCTTAAAGATTATGGTTGCAGAGACAAAAATTTAGTAGGATAAGAAGATGATGGTAAGAAATCCACCAGTAAGCAGAGCTGAAAGACAAATAGAAAAGACAGCTAAAAGATCAATTTACAAGGTTCTATATTCAAGTAATAGGAATACCAGAAAAAGTAAAGAGAGAATATTTAAAAAGTTAGGGGAGACAATAGAACAAAATTTCCCAGAGGTAAAGGACAACATTATTTTTTTAATTTAATGGTCTCACCAACTTACAAGCAGGATAAACCAAAAATATCCTGGATGCTTCATTTTGCAGTGTCTCTGCTCCTAAGATTTAAGGAAAATTCTAAATGCTTCTGGGACAGGGAGTACAGGATGGTGGTATTGGGGGATATATGTCAGCTTGTAACAGAATTAGAGACATACTAAATAGACCATCAGACTCCTGATTAGCAATCTTAGAAGTCAGAATATAGTGAAATAAAGGCTTCAAAGTTCTGAGAGAAAGTGATTTGAAACTAGAATTTTATACTTTCCCTAACAGTCAAGTATGAGGTCAAAATACAGTTTTCAGACAAGTGAGGACCAGATAGTTTACCTCTTTAGGAACACTTCCATGGAAATAACTCGAGATGGCATCCAACAAAACAAAAGTGTAACAGCAAATTAAAAATTAAAAAAAAAATTACCAATTTAGAACAAGGGATCAATGAACTTCAGGAATAATGAAGCCAGCAACTGACAGAATAACAGAAAGAAGCAAAATTTTAGGATAGAGTGTGGATGAAATATGTTTCTTCTCTAAGAAAAAAATAAAGGCAATCAAAAACTCTCAGAAAAATAGAAATATGGTCAATATGTCATGGTTCAAACATAGAACAAAATATCATGGGATTTTGAGCAAGTAAAGGGATATAAGGAAGAGAAAGGCTTTGATACTAGAAATATTCTCCCTTAAGTGAAAGTTGAGTATTCCAGGAGTTGAACTTTGCACGTATAGAAGAGGATGTGTAATCATGACACTTGGCTTGGTTCTACTGTGATCAATAATCATGTGGCCATATAACATTAGCATTACTTATTGGTTTTCAGTCATACTATAAAATATAAATGTCCTTAAATTTGACTGTATAGAGGTAAAAATAGAATGACCAAAGTTCTCTTAATTTCTTAAATTGGTGGGTCAAAAGATACTGCAAACTTGATGAAACAAGAAATGCTACTAAAAATCACAGAAGTCATCAGTTGAATAGTACTACTTTTTTTTTTAAAGATTTTATTTATTTATTTGACAGAGAGAGACACAGTAAGAGAGGGAACACAAGCAGGGGCAGAGGGAGAGGGAGAAGCAGGCTTCCTGCCAAGCAGGAAGCCTGATGTGGGGCTTAATCCCAGGACCCTGGGATCATGACCTGAGTTGAAGGCAGACACTTAACAACTGAGCCACCCAGGCACTCTGGAATACTACTTCTCAAATTGTGGTTGCTGAATCAGCCATGTCAGCCTCTTTTGGGATCTTGTGAGATATTTTAACAATCTGACCAGGTGATTCTCTCTTTCTTTAAAAGATTATTTATTTATTTATTTGAGAGAGAGAGAGAGAGCACAAGTCAGGAGAAAACAGAGACATGGGGGGCTCGACCCCAGGACACTGGGATCATGACCTGAGCCAAAGACAGTCGTTTAACTAACCCCTGACCAGGTGATTCTAATGCAGCTGATGTTTGAGAACCACTGCAGGAGAGGAGTTAAGACTAATGATTTGCCTGTCAAAATTAGGAAGGCAGAGGAGAGAAAAATTCTTGTCCATTGTGTCAGGTATTCAGTAAGAGAATGTCTAAATCTGATTAATCATCAAAAGAAACACATGTGGATGTGGATAATAGTGGTTGCCCCTGGAGAGCAGGACTCGGTATAGGGAGGTATGTGGCAGGGGATCATTATTTCTTTTAAACATGTGATTCTTTGATAGAAAAATATTTTTCTTTCATTTTAATTTCATAGATTGGAAAGATTGTCCAGGAGTCTGGGAAATATTCTGGGAGAGTGATCCTTGCTTTTTCTCCTTTTCCTGATTGGGGGGCAGCGGGTAGCTAATTTAATGACCATCCACCATGTGTCTTCCAGATGTGACTCAGTTTGAGGGGGAGAAAGATTCTGAGAGCGAGGCCCACTCTAGCAAGCAGAGCTGAATTTCAGCCCATGTGTGTATTTATGACGGCTCCACAAAGAGCATCTAATCTCTTTCCTAGGAAAGAATAACCTCATCAAGTCATGTTGCCAGATAACATTAGGATTTAAATACTGCATTGTCTTCAACTAAAAGGCACCGAGCCCATATTGGTACACAGGGTTGT